TATATAACGATTCAAATAAATATAAATTCAGAGTAGTAAGAAATGAATAATTTCATATAGATTACAAATGAATTAAAAACAATTGAATATATGAGATATACAATACAAATAATTTATATTTTAATTAAACATTGATGATGAAATACATAAATTTAATTGAAACAATCATAAAATTGAAACTGTAATTATCAACTCAAATCATTTTACTAATATAATAATTATTAATCCTTCTTATTGTATTAATTTTGAATGTATTTACATAAGTATCTAATAAATATACCAAATTAAAAAGAGATATACAATTATTAATTATTTTATGCTATACACTTTTGTTTTATGTATTAAAATATAATCACAAAATGTCTATTTAATAATAAATTAATATTTTATTAACAAATGATATTCATAAAACTATACGAAGAAGACTAATAAAATGAAACTATTTATTTTAAAATATTTGAAAATGATGTAAAGAGATAATTTCATTGTTTAATTCATAACATTGTTTGATTCATTTTAACCAATATTTTATTTTGTTTATCTTTATTAGCATTATCAGATTATTTTTAATCAACTTCTTTATTAGTAAAATAAATTAGGAGATTGAAATAATTTTGAAGAATATGAAAAACAAAATACATTAATTTTATTAGTTATTCTTGTTTATTTATCTTATTTTAATCAATAGTTTTTACTCTATTGATTTATGCTTCATTTTTCATTAATATTTATTTTGATAATATAAATAAATATTTAACATATCAATTATTATGGGTTATAATTTTAATGCCATCTTTTTACTATTCATCAAATAATTCGATTAAAGTGTATTTCATACAAATCAGTTCTATTAATTTGATTTGATATATCAATTATATTATTCTTTTTATTATTTGTAATAATTTTCATATTTGATTATTAACAACAAAACAGTAAATTTTATTTTAATAAATTTTAAAATTATTCAAAAAGAAGTAAAATATGAAATAGAAAATGAATTACTTACCTATTTTATTCATTAATTAATGATAATAACATGAATGAATATATAGTCTAATTATTTCATTTAAATGATAATCATTTAATGAGAGAATTGGTCAATAATAATGTTTGATTTCATCTTTTCATTGTCTATCTATTATAATATTCAAATTGTTTTTATTTTTTTTTTTGATCATTCATTTTATTCAATTTCAATTTATTAATATATTTTATTCTATTTATTCTCTCATTATTTTATTAATATAATTAAATTATTCTTATTTTGTACAATTTAATAAATTTCATTATACTCATTTTTATTACTTCCTTTATCACATGTTTTATACAATCTATTCAAATTTCCATTCTTATTTCTTTTTATCATTTATCTTGTTTCTTTATCTTTCATTTATATTCTATTATTCTTATTATTTATTATTACATCAATATCTATTCTATATTTCTTTTATTTTTCTCATTTGTTATACTTATCTTATTTTATTATTATTATTTTATTAATGTTTAATTTATAATGCATTTGATCAGTAATACTTCTATTAATTTATAGAATTGATTTAAAATTTACTCCATTATTCTTTTTCTTGTTTCTTTTTCTTATTTCTTTCCTATTTTCTTCTTATTTTAATTAATTCAGTATATTCTTCTTTATTCATCTTTCTTCTACTATCTCTTTAATTTCTAATTTTCATTTTGATGTTTATTATATTTATTCTATATTAACAATAACTCTTCTTCTCTCTTCTAGTTTTTGAGTTTTGTTTCTTCTTTCTTTATAGTTTCTTCTATATTGATTTTCTTGTAATATCTTTTATTTTCTCTTTCACTTCTTTGGTTTCTTTTTCATGTTTTATCTTATTTTATTTATTCTCTTCTTTGTATATTTCGATTATCTTGTTATTCTTCTACTTTTTTGTTGTTCTTGTATTATTTCTTTAAATATTTCTTACTTATTTTATCTTTCTTTATTCTTTCAGTTTCTTCATTTCTCATTATCCTTTCTTCATCTATAACTTTCTGCTTTGTTTTTTTTCTTTTTTTTTTGTCTTTCATTCAATGTCTTTTCTTGTACTATCTTTTATTCTTATATTTTTTTCATTTGTCTTGTTTATTCTCATAATAATATTGATTAAACATTCTACCTACATGATGATATTTGTAGTTATACTAATTACTTTTATTTTTATTATAAATGTGTTTAAATTAGAATTGACTATGGCGTTTATAATTTATTGTAGTTAATAATAATGTTATTATAACTATTATTTGTTTGATACTGATTGTGAATATATTCATGGTAGTGTCATATAAATTTATATATTGTATAAATTATTTCTATTTGACTTTTATTGAATGATTTATTATAAAAATAAATCTTAAAAAACAATACTATTTAATAATTAATAGAAAATAACAAAAAAACCTTTTTGTTATTTATTTTAATATTATTAAATAATTAATTTGATAAGAAAATAAATAAAACTAATACAGTATTATAAAAGAATTAAGAATTTATTAAATTCATATTATGTTTACTGAATGAAAAAAATTATTATTTAATTTGACTTTATAACAAATAAAAAAACTAAATATTAATATTAAAGAATAACAAAGGATGAAACTCTTTGCTGTTATTTTCTTTATTGCATTTACTTATTCTTTTAAATGTGAGACAATTGATATAACAATTCCTGACTCATTTATTGATGACTATTATTGTGATTGTCCTGATGGTTCTGATGAAAAAAATACAGGAGTATGTGAAGGAAGTATGTTTGTATGCCAAAACAAAGGTGCTGATGCTGTGGAAATAGAAAGTAGATTTGTAGGAGATAGTATTTGTGATTGTTGTGATGGGTCAGATGAAAAAGAAGGATTATGTCCAAATGTTTGTAAACAACAAACACAAACAAAAATTGATGAAGTTGATAATGAAATTAAACGAATGGAAGAACTAATTCAAATAAAAGAGAAATTTTCAATAGAAGGGAAAAGGCTTAGAAAAGAGTTGACTAAAGAAATTAAAAATAATAAAGCAGCATTAAAAGAAGTTAAAGAAGAATTAAAAAATGGAGATTTTGATGATACTATTAAAGAACAAAAAAGAAAAAGGGATAACTTTAGTGCAGATTATAAAGAACGTTACAACAATTTAAAAAGTAAAATTATTGAAGAAGTTACTGATGAAACAAGTGAAGAAATACTAAAAAGGAAGATAAAAGAATATGGATTTGTTAGTCCAGATGAAGAAGAAGTTAATGTTACTTCAGTTGAAGCACAAAAAGAAGGAAATCAAAAGCCAAAAGAAGAAATCAAAGAAGAACAACGTAAATTAAAATTATTAATAGAAGAAGAAGAAACAAACTTTAAAAAAGAAGATAAAGAATTAGAAAAAGAAATTAAAGAATTAGAAGAAAAACAAAAAGAATTAAAAAATAAGAAAGCAGTAATTGAAAGAAAACTATGGGAACTTAATGAGAAAAATAAAATTGATATAACACAAAATAATTATTGTAATGATTATTTCTTCTTAAATGAATATTCTAAAGATAATTTTAAATTATATTATGGATTTAATATTACTCAAAACAATAATATTAACGTTGGTTCTTTCGTAGGATGGAATACTTCTGATATTCAACTTTATTCCAATGGAACTACTTGTGAAATTAATCAAAAAAGTATTACAAGAAAAGCTGAAGTTCATTTGACTTGTGGGGAAACACCAAACATTATTTTTACTGATGAACCAAATACTTGTGAATATGTTTTGGTTTTACAAACTCCATGTGCATGTAATAAAAAACTTTTGAAAAGTCTCCATGAAAAAAGAAAACAATTAGAAGAAAAATTACAATAATGTTAAGTAAACTATTCTTTATTAACAATTTTATTTTTATTGAAGAAGAATTATATCAACAAGTTGTAGGAATGAAAAAGACATTTTGTAAGTAAGATAAAAAGAATATAAGAAGAACAATTGAATTATTAAAATGTACTTTAATAATAAAGAACTCAAAAACTATTGTAAAGAAACAATTTTATTATTAAGAGTTTAAATAAAACGATAAAGAACTTAAAAAGAAATTATATTTTTGTACAATGATATGTGCAATATTTTTTATGAATGCGAAGGGAGACCTTCTCATCTCAAGAATCTATAGAGATGATGTGATGAAAGGAGTAGCTTCTGCATTTAGGTCATATGTATTAACAGAAAAAAATGTATTACCAGTTAAGATTGTTGGGTCAACTGTATTTTATCATATTAGAGTTAATTCATTATATATTGTTGCTTTAGCAAGAAGTAATAATAATGCTGCTGTTGTGTTTGAAGTGTTACATAAAATTGTTGAAGTATTCCAAGCTTATTTCAGTACTATTGATGAAAACACTATTAAGAGTCAATATGTTTTGATTTATGAATTACTTGATGAAATTCTTGACTTTGGTTATCCACAATTTTGTACTAAAGATGAATTACAATCACTTATTACATTTGGTAAAGCCAAAGCTGTTCAAAGAGGAAATATTGCTATTCAAGCTACAGGTCAAATTCCATGGAGATCACCTGATATTTTCTATAAGAAAAATCAATTATTCCTTGATGTTATTGAAAGTGTTAATTTAACAGTATCTGCAAAAGGAACTATTCTTTCTAATGATGTCAATGGAGTTATTAAAATGAGAACCCAATTATCTGGAATGCCAGATTGTTCACTTGGTATGAATGATAAAGCTTTATTACTTGGAGACTCAGCACAAAAGAAATCAATTCAATTAGCTGATGTTACTTTCCACCAATGTGTTAGATTAACTCGTTTTGATCAAGACAGAAGTATTAATTTCATTCCACCAGATGGAGATTTTGACTTAATGAAATACAGAACAACTGATAACATTTCACAACAATTTAGATTATTACATAATATTAAAGAATCTTCTAAGACTCATTTATCTCTTGATATTAATGTTCGTGCATTATTCTCTGAATTACAATATGGTGAGAATGTTCGTATTAAGATCCCAGTTCCAAAGAATGCTGCTTTGTGTAAGACTCGTTGTACAGCTGGAAGTGCTAAGTATCATCCAGAACATGCAGCCATATTATGGAGAATTTCCAGATTTAATGGAAAGACACAACAAACTATTACTGTTGATGTTGATTTAGTCCAAACCACTCAATCACAAAGATGGGATAAACCACCAATTTTGATGGACTTTGTTATTCCAGCATTAACTGCTACCGGTTTACAAATTCGTTATTTGAAGATTGCTTCAGACTATAAAACTATTAAGTGGGTAAGATATATTACAAAAGCTGGTGCCATTCAATATCGTCTTTGAATTAAATCAAAAGTGTTTTATTCATTTTGTTTTGAAAGAAGATGAAATTCCTTACTAAAGAATAATATAAGATAATGAACAAGTTTAAAAATAAACAAGTATTAATTTAATCTATCCATTTAAAAAATATTCATTTACTATTAAAAAAGCATAATTATTATATCCCTCTTTTAATAAAAATTATTCAAAAAAATAAAAAAATACTAAAATGAACAAAATTCATTTGAAAATTAAGTTGAAAATAAGTAGTTAAATAACCCACTCAGAAATAAAAACATGCCATCATGATTAAAAATGACTCTCAGACAAGTTATTTCATCACTGTGGATTTGATTAAAAAGTAAAAGTAAAAAGTTTAAATAGTTCGAGGGTTAAAAGAAATAAACTATTTTTAATAAAAAAAAATAATTTAAATAGATTATAAACTATTAATTATAATAAAAATATTATAAAATACTATAAAAGAGAATAACAAAATAAATTAAAAGGTTGCTCTACTATCGTATTTGATTGCTTCACGTTTACATGAGCGAATTGTTCCACTAACATGAACAACATTCATTTTAAATGGAAATGGTAAACGTTCTGAACCAAAATATTTCATTGTTGTTTTAATCTAATGAATGAGTATTACCTTTATATTATTATTGTATTAACAAACCATATTAAGTCGTTCAAATCTACACTTTATTATAACTATTCCCGTCTTTAACCAGTTTGTATAAATTATTCCAGTTTTCAAACAACAACCTGCACCAAAAATGCCATATAACTGTCTAACACCAGCAACGATTAGAGTTTGAAACTCTCCTTTTGCAATATCAATTGGTTCACCAATTCCTGAAGGTACTGCATGAATCAATAAATATCTACTTTTCACTCGTACCATATTTGTACTTTCTTTTTTGAGTCTTTTTCTTTTTTCTTTCAACTAAGTCTTAATCATATTATGTTATATATAACCAAAATAAATTTATTTTTTTTTTTTTTTAAAAAAGTAATTTATTTTGGTTTTGCCTATTTTCAGTACAAATAGAGACAATCACAATTGCTTATTAATGGAAAATATTTTTGGTTCAGAGTAAAATTTATGCAGTGATTTTTCTTTATTTTCATGAAAGGGTATGTGGTGTTCTTTAGAAGTTATTAAAAAAAATTTTAAGTGATAAACATAAAGAAATAGAACCATATTTATTTTTCTATAGGTAAGTTATTAAGACATAAATAAAAAAAAAATACAAAAGTTTTAAAAAAATTGAAACAATATCATGAGATATAAATACTTTTCAAAAGAAAGAAGCAAAAGAAGGGGCAAATTATAATTTATTAACAAATTATAAAAAAATATAATATAGAATAATTGTTTCAAAAATAATACTGATCTTAAAATAATTGTGAAAGTTGATAAGAGGATCTTCTAAATTTACAAAGAATTTTTAAACAGTGATGACCACAGAGAAAGTTTGTTTTTTAATTGGATATTTATGGTCATAATCACTTGTAATCTACATTTTACACGAATATTTATTTTATTATTAGAGAGATGCAGACACCCTAATTAAAGTTGTTGTTGTAGGTGATGGAACAGTTGGAAAGACATGTTTGTTAATCAGTTATACAAAGAATTCATTCCCTAAAAAATATCTTCCAACTGTTTTTGATAATTACCTTGCAAAAGTTCAATATAAAAAGCAAGAAGTGATGATGGAATTATGGGATACAGCTGGACAAGAAGAATTTGATCGTATAAGACCATTGTCTTACAAAGACACTGACATATTTTTATTATGTTTTGCGGTAGACAATGATCGTTCAATTAAAAATATTACATCAAAAGTTTGTTTTCAATTCTTTATAACATTTTTTTTAAATGGATTATTAAATAAATTCTTACACTTCTTTAGTGGGTACCTGAAGTAAAACATCATTGCTCTAGCGGTAAACTTTTGGTTGTTGGAACAAAAGCTGATTTGCGAAATAGTGCAGAACATCAATTAAAATTACAACAAAAAGGAGAATCCTTTGTTTCAGCTGCTGAGGGTCAAGAATTAGCTGAAAAAATTGGAGCTGTTGGTTATTGTGAGTGCTCTGCTTTAACACAAGAAGGTCTTCACGATGTTTTCAATAAAGTTATTGAATCTACATTGAATGTTAAAGATGTTAAGGAAAGGAAAATGTGTTGCTTGCTTTAAATGAATTTCAATTTGGTTTTTTTTAATCCCTTTTGTTTTATCAAAGCAATAAAAAATATTATAAAAGGCTTTTTATTCAACGTTCAATATAAAGATGTAATTTTTAAATATTAAATATTAGTGATTAGTATAAAGAAAAAGAAGTTAAAACCCAACTAAACAAAGAAATGAATAAAACTTTATTATTCAGTTATGCAATACTTTGCATGAAATTGAATTGAAGTTATTTTCTTTAATTGTTCTAATGCATCTTCAATTGATATGACTTTATTTTTTGTTGCATCATTTAGTATTTCAATACAATCATCTACAGCCATACATTGTGAAATTGATTTCATTTTATTTCGTTCACCACTAGTCTTTTTCTGTAATAATATTTTTTGTGGATCAATTTCTTCACATGAATTATTTTCAATCCAACAACTAATCTCACTAATAGCTTTGTTTATTTCATTTATTTTCTTTTGAAGTTTTTTTTTCTGAATAATTTCATTTTCTTTTTTTCTTCTTTCTTCTTCTTCATGAAGTATTTCTTCAGACTCTTCTTCTTTTTGTATTTTTTCTTCATCTGTTAAACAACCAGAGGTAAGTTTATTTTCTACTTCTGGTTGGGTCATATAGTGGTTAGGCATAGAAAGGAATGGTGGAGGATTTACTTTAGTGATAGGGTTATAATTAGCCAAATATGGGTCATCTCCAGGTTTCTTAATACACCCATTCACTTGAACATTTTGTTCTTGAGATTGAAGTGGATATGTTGTTATTGGGTTGGTTGAAGTTGTTGTATTTGGGAATGAATTATAATACATTTGTTGTTGTGGGCCAGAGAAAGAGGAATTTAATGAAGGAAAAGAAGTGTTTTGAACTACATCAGCAGGTACTGATGATTGGAATAATGTTGTATTAAATGGTTGATATTGGGGTTGAGCAGAAGGGTTAATTGAAGTTAAATGATTTGGGTAGTTATAGTTAGATGATGGTTGTAATGAAGGATTAAATGAAGACATTTCTTGTGAGTAAGGAGGTTTATTTATTATAAACTGACCATAAGAATTAGGTTGGTATTGTTGTTGAAGAGAGGTAATTCTTTGTTGACAATAAGGAGAACTTGAATTAACAAATTGAGAGGATGTTAATGAACAAGATGAGTTTCTAAAATTATTATGTGGGTTAGGCTGAATTGAACTTGTTGAAGCAGTAATTGGATATCCTTGAGGAGTAGTTAGATGACTATTTTGTGCTTGTCTAACTGGAGGATATCTACCAAATGAGTTAGCTAAACTTTCTAATACCATTAAAAGATCACTTGAAGGATTCCACTCATCGCCAACTTTCCTAATAACACCATTTTCATCTACTTCAGGATGTTTTTTAACAATTTCCATTCCCTCACTAATATTACAAATAATTTCAGGTGGTGAAAGTGGATAGTCATAAGGAAATCCAATTAATAAAGGAATACCAAATTTTCTACCATTAAATAAAATTGGGAGAAAGCCAGTTAACACTAACAATTGTTTTCCACTAATTCTTGACGTCCATGTGTCAACTCTGAATTGAGGATATTTTACATGAATTGATCGAATATCTTGTTCAACTGAATCAAAGTTATTATAATTTTTTTTTATTAGAATGTTAATATTCTTTTCATTGTTTATAGGTTGCATTAATTAAAATTAACAAAATTTTAAGTTCTTTTTAATTTCTCCTCTCAGTTAAGTCAAAATAAAACGTCATTTTCTCTTATAATTTTCATTTGTCATTGGTACTTTTAAAAAACATTAATAAGAAAGAACAAAAAGATAACTATAACTATCAATTAAAAAGTTTAATGAAGTCCAACATTAGCAAATACTCCTTTAATTTCATTGAAAACTTCATCTGGTCCTCCAAGATGATCAACAACAAAATATGGAAGATTTTTAGCTTTAATAGCTTTAATCATTTCATCATGTTGAGCATGATAAACAGCAAGTCTTTTAGCAGCAGCTTCAGTATTATCATCAGCTCTTCCAGATGTTTTTCCTCTTGAAACAATTCTTTGTATAAGAATTTCATCAGGAATTTCTAAATTAATGACACAAATTTTAGTTTCAGCAGTAGCTTCTTTCAAAAGAGCTTCAAGTTGTGAAACTGCACGTGGATATCCATCAAAAACAATAACTTCTTTTTCATTTTTAGCAATAAAATTATTAACCATATTACAAATAATTTCATCAGAAACAAGTTGACCATTACGAATAATATCTTCAACTTTTAATCCAATTTCTGTTTTGTTTTTAATTTCAGCTCTTAACAAATCACCTGTTGAAATATGAGCAGAAGAATTAAGATGTTTTTCAATATTAGCACATTGAGTACCTTTTCCAGCTCCTGGTCCACCTAACATAATAAGGAATACTTTAGCCATTTTTACTAATTTAAATTTATTGTTCTTTCAGTAGTTTTTCTTTAAATATTCTCTTCTTTTCTTATTAGAAGAAATCTTTTTATTTTATTGGCTATTTTCACTTTGAAAATTTCTTCCACGTCATATAGTAATTTAAAATAAAAGCTACCTTAAAAAACCCTTGTTTTTTTTTCCTTTTTTGTTTTTTGTTAAGTCAGTTAAAAGTTAAACTATGAAGTATCTCTGTCGTTAAAATAATATTAATTAATGTTATTAATAACGAAATATTTCTTTTAAATAAAATATTGGGTTATTTAAACCAATGAAATAGTCAAAAAAAAAAAACAATTGTCATTTAACACAGAAATATTCATTTCAATATTTTATTTTTATAGATAAAAATTGTAGCACTTTTTCTGTAAGAAAGACTCAAATTATTATGTTGGTGAAACGAAATTTACTTTGAGGGGTTTTGCAATTTGGTTTGAATAGTTTTTTAAAAAGACACACCATAATTTTTAGAAGAATTCGAAACTTAAAACAAACAAAATGGAACCGCCTAATCTAACCACCCCACGGTCACTTCTTACTATAATTCAAAGTCCATTACCATTTACTATTGATAATAGTAAAATTTCTTCAAAATTTATTACTTCTAACTCTTGTTCTTCTTTAAATGTATCATCAAATTTTGGTGAATTAAATATTCCTGATTTAATGGTTATAGCATTGCAATTAAACCAACAAACAACAAAGGTTTTTCTTAAAATTAATAAAAAATGTAAACAAGCAGTTTCACGTCTTAAAATCAATTCTTTCACTGCTCCATTAAATACATTAAAAAAATTTTTTCCAGCAATGGAAACTTTGTATTTAGTTAATCCAACAGAAATACCAAAGTTAAAATATCGCTATAAAATATATTCATCTTCACCAGAATTATTTAAAATAATCTCTTCTTTAGAAAGATATATTACATCATTACATCTTGTTGTTCAACAAAATTCATCTTTACCATTAAAAAAACTAAAAAATATTGTTGAATTATCATTAGATTTTACTAAAGTATCATTACAACAATTAGAGTCTCCTTTATTACGTGAAGCTCGATTATTTCGTTCACCATTTATCAAATCTGTTCATATATATTGTCAACAAAAAGATATTGTATCAGCACAAAATATTATTGAAGTTTTTAATAGACATTTACCTATTAAAATAATTCTTATTGTTGAAGGACTTACTTTTTATCAGAAAGGTATTGATGCAGTTATTGATAATGATTTATTAGAACTAAAAAATGTTTGTGTATTACCTAATGGATCTTATTATATAATAACTGCTAATGTAGTTGAAGAATTTAAGAAATATCTTCCTTTATCATTAAAAATAAAAAGTACTGATGATTGTGTTTTATTAGATTTATCGGGTTATAATTATTTAACTCATTTAACAATTATTCAGCAAAAATCAATGAAATATTTATTGTTACCACAACAATTACATACTTTAAAATTAGAAGATGCTTCTGATTCATTAGTAGATTATCAACATTCTAATATAAAAGAGCTTATTCTTTATAATTGTACAATCACTAAACATTATTATTCTGAATCATTAAATAAAATTACTATTCTACATTGTAATTCTGAATATTTAAAAATTCCTATTCCAACAAAAGATCTTTCAGTTTCTTATTGTAATAATCTTAAAGAAATAGTTATTCCTTCTTCATTAAATAAACTTAGTTTAATTCATTGTATTAATTTAACTAAGACTAAAGGACTTACTCATTCTAATACTTTAGAACTTGAATTAACCTATTGTCCTTTATTAAAAAAGATTCATATTCCTTCAAGTTTAAACAAACTTTCTATTACTTCTTGTGAAAAACTTAATCAAAATTTAGTATTAAGAACTGTATTAATAGAAGAAATGAAAATTATATCTTCTCCAAGGTTTAAAGTTAGTGAAATACCTAATACACTAAGGAATTTACAAATACAAGATTATTGTGAAAAAGAAATTATATTACCTGAGTTTGTTACTGAGTTGAGATTATCTCATTGTGATAAACTACAAGCTATCTATTTCCCTAGAGAATTAAAAATATTAAGAATCTATAAATGTCCATTAATATCTTTTGAAGGAATTGAAAATATACATATGAGTACTTTAGAAGTAGAAGGAGTAGAAAGAATAGAAAATGTTTTATTACCATTAGGATTAGTATCAATTACATTTATTGATTGTAAATATCTTAGAATATTAGATGGAATGGCTGTCCTTACAACATTAAATGAATTAACAATATCTTCATGTCCTCAATTAAGTAATTTAGTATTACCAAAGTCTATTACTCAACTTAATATCAATAAATGTAAAAATTTAACTTGTATTGATGGAATTGATAAATTAAATATTCCATTTGATGAACTAATTAATCTGTATTATTTATTAGAACATCCTTTACTTCCTATTAACGTTACATCCCTTCAACTTGATGGATGGAACTGTCTTTCATTATCAAACATTTTTAGTTTACATCTTGTTGATTTAACAATAAATAATTTCTCACATTTATCATCATTAACAATTCCTAATTCATTAATAACACTTTCTTTATGTGGATGTAAGTCACTTCAACAATTATCTTTTAAATCTCCTTTATTAAAGAAGTTAACTATAAATTCATGTACTTCATTAAAGAATGTTTCATTTCCAATGACATTAACATATCTTGTTGTTATTGATTGTTTTGCACTTTCTTTCAATAAAATTAATACAATACCATTATATCATCTTGGAATAGAAAATATTACTTCCTTAAAAAGTTTAAAAGTTCCAACAACACTTAAAGTTTTACAAATAGCATTTTGTAATGCACTCAATGATATAAACAATTTAAAGAAAATTGATTTAAAAGAAATAGCATTTTTATCATTATATTCTCTAAAGAAAGTTACTCTTCCTACAACAATGACTAACTTATTATTAGAAAATTGTGACAATTTGAATAAAATAAAAAATTTAAATAATTGTCCAATTCAAGAATTAAAATTGAGTGGATTAGATTCTATTAAATCCATTTCTTTTCCAAAAACTTTAACTAAATTGAGTATTAATTTATGTGAAGAAATTAGTAAGTTAGATAATTTATGTCAATGTAATATTTCTGAATTATCAATATTTAAATGTAATAAATTACCATTATTAAATCTACCACAATGTATTACTCGACTACAAATTGATTCTTGTAATTCTATTCATGAATTAAACTTAGAAAATTATAAAATTTTTGAATTAGAATTAACTACTTGTGAACTATTAACTAAAATTATTTTCCCAACTACTATTATTTCATTATCAGTTACTGGTTGTAATAATTTACTTGAAATAAGTAATTTAGAGTCATTAGACGTTCCATTACATACTGTTTTTAATCTTATTATTAATCTTGAACATCCTATTCTTCCACCATCATTTAATGATATTCAAACATTAAATGCTGTAACTGAAAATTTTATTGAAAATGCTTCTCAATCAATAAGTTCTTCATATACTCCTCAGTTATCAAAAAATAAATCTAATAGAATAAACCAACCTTTGAATGGTTTCTATGACTCTCCTATTATATCACCACGTTCTCCAAGAAAATTTATTCCATGGGGTTTATCACCTTCTCCAACTTTTAGTCGTTCACCAAGTCCTCGTTCTCAAAAAATAAATTCTCCACGTTCATTTTATATACCTTCAACATTACCACCAATATTAGATATAAATGATTTGTTTACAATATCAAATTGGAAATGTCTTGATATTCAAAATTTAAACTCTTTCAATATTGATGGTCTTTATGTTTGTAATTGCATTAGACTAACAAAACTTGAACCACCACAAACTGTTACTAAATTAATTATTGAAAATTGTATTTCTTTACAATACCTTTCATTAACACCACATCTTATTGAATGTTCAATTCATTTTTGTTCTAGTATTAATCAATTATATATTCCACAAACTTTAACTGAATTACATCTACTTCATTGTGAAGAAATAAATGAATTAAAATGTTTTGAAAATGCAACAAAATTAATTAATTTTTCTGCAAAATACTGTAATCAACTTAGAACTTTAATTATTCCAAAAGGATTAAAAAAGTTTCAAATTGAATGTTGTGATAGGTTAGATGAAATTCTTAATATTGAAAATAGTTATATCGAAGAAATGGTAATTGTTGAATGTGATAGTTTAGAAAATATAACATTTCCATCGACTTTAATTAAACTCACAATTGAAAAATGTTATTCTTTGCATAAACTTCCGAATCTTCAAAAAATTTGTCCACAACTTACAAGAAGTATGTGTAATATTTATAATTAATTAATTCATATTATATTTTCTTTTTATATTCAATATTTGAAATATTAAAATCATTTAAATAATAACAATTCACTTAACTTATTATCTCTCAGAATTTATTGAAATTCATTTTCTTCTTTTGAATTATTTAAAAAGTGTAATTTCTAGAATCTTATTGTAAAAAAATTATTTTATTTCAATAACAACATAAGTTACAATTTTTATAAATAAACTCATTAAAATTATGTAAATGTTATCAAATTCAACTTTACCATTCCTTTTTTTTCCTAAACATTCTTTTTTATTCAGATATTTTAATGCTGTTTTATTTTTTATTAAACATCATTGAAATTTTTCAAACTTATTAAAAATAATTATTAGTTAGTATTATGCAAGAACCACAACAATTATTTCAATCATACATTGTTCAAAATAAAAAATGTCAACAACTCTTAAGTGAAACACAAAATGAGATTCAAAATTTCTATGAATCTCTTAGAGATGAACCTTTTATTAAAAAAGAGAAAGAAGATTATGATACTTCTATTAAAAGGGGAGAAGGTATTCTTGATAGGTTTGATGAAACATTTAGAAGAGTTGAATTGATTAGAAACAAAGGAGACACAACATTAAAAGAATTAATCCTTACAAAAAATATATTAAATTGTCTTCTTCATGAAATTGACCGAAAAGAATTAGAACTTATTGAAAAGAATAACCATATAGTTGACAAGACTATTGGACTAGTGAAAGAAAAGTATCAAAAACAAAATGAGCTAATAAAGAAAAAAATGGATAGTGAAATTAATAGCTTAAATGATATGAGAAAAAACTATTCTAAGGCTCAAAACATAGTCGAATTTAATACAATGATTGATGAAGAATTGAAACATGAAGAACAGAGAATAAATGAACTTCATGAAATATTTTACAGAAAACAGATTGAACAAAATAGAACAATTAATGAAGAAATGAAGCAAATTGAAAGTTGGGCAGGAAAAAAACTTGGAGATGTCATTTTTGATTCAAACAAACATAACTGGGGAAGTCAGAGTCAATTTGGTGATTTAATGCAAAACCGTTCAAATTATATTTTGTTAATACAAGATACTAATGGAAATAAATTTGGTGGCTGTTTCTACAATACTTTAAACTCTCTTTCTTCTTTTATTTATGACCCAAATTCATTTTTATTTTCAATAAGGTCAAATGGTAGATTACCTGGTATGATGAAATTTAATATCAAAGAGGATAACAATTCTATAGAAGTGTACAATAGTCAGAGTACTTGGTTATTATCAGTTGGAATGGGAGGAAATGGACAACAAGATGATATTTGTATTATGAAAAATGGTTTTGAAAATAAAGAGCAACATAGTGGATGTAAACAAAGTTCGTATGACTACAGAGGTTATCAAAATGCATTATGTGGATCAAATAATTTTGATATTTTAGAGTTTAAAATGATTCAAATGAAGTAAAAAATGTACTAATTGAAATTTTAGACACATTGTTTTGTGTTTATTATATGCTATATTTTTATTCTCCACTACATATTGGATTTAAAATAAATAATAACCAGTTAATTAAGTATTAATAGATTTTTCCTCTATTGTTCCTGACTCAGGGGAGACTAATTACATCCCTTCGTCTTCATCTTCTTCTAGCAGCTCTACGGAGTATGTTTGGTTGTGATAGAAGCAGTATTCCATGACATCATTCATGTTTTTTATTACAAGGTTTTTTACTTCTTTCTCGATGTTAATCTCAATTTTTATTTCTTTAATTAATTTAATACTTTCTTATTTATTAATCCATTTATTGAAATTACTACTGGAATTATTCTGACATCTTTTAATTTTTCTATTTTCATTAGAATATTCTTTAATTCTTTATACATATTTCTTTTCTTCCAATAGGCTTAATTAATATTGTGATCAGCCACAATAGTCATATCAAATATTAGACCAGTTTTATTCTTTTTATCTAATACATATCTGGTATTTTGTGATATTTTCATTCACTTTTATGCATTATTTATTTGTTCAATATCATTGTGATATCTTTATATTGGAACACTGTTTTATATGAATTTTTTATATTGATTATTTCATGTATATTTTCTTATTAATCAATATTATAATGCCTATATGGTCATGTTTTTCTATTTGTGATTTTTTATGACCAATACAAGATAGTAGAATGTGTTCTACTGTAGCTATCTTGTCTTTACAAAGTGTTGAGTATTTCAATCTTTCATTTTTCATTATTTTTGATTTTCTTGTACATACAAAATATTGCACCATCATTGCATTTTAGTTAATTTGAGAAATGCATTTTTTTAATATTGAATGACTTCCATGCTTTCACTGTATTAGTTTTATCTACTCCTTTTGACTCAAACTATCTTCTAAAATATCCACTTATTTGATGACACTTCCATTTTTTGATGTATTTATCATTAATTTCTTTATTTCTACTACTACTTCTTTTTCTTTTTTCTTTTCTATCCCTTCATTTATTATTTCTTCTATTTTTGTTTCATTTATTTTATGAATTGATGTTTTAAATTCTATTCAATATTCCCTTCTTACTGTACCATCTCTCTAATATGTTATTTCCTATTTCACTTTCTCTGGTACAATAGTACATCACTGTTCTTACTAATTCAATAACATATTCGTCCCTTATATTTATTAATCATTCATTTCTTCTTGAGGGACATACAACCTATCTTTGGAGTTTCACCATTGTATTTTGCCTTTCTTAAGTATTTTCTTATCTCCAAATCAATTTTATCTATGTCAGTGATTTTCCAATTTACAACTGATGCTGAATATCTGAAGATAGGGATTACTTCCGTGTTTATTCATGTATTATATCTTCTATTACTACTTTCATCAGTGTTTATTTCTTCCATCTTCTGATTCATTTTTTCATTGATGGTTTTACAATTGAAGGTGTCATCAATTTCGTCGGACTGCTATATTCCTAAGTATTTATACAAATCCTCACCTTCAATTAGGGGGATGTTTTGCATTCCATTTGGTATTTCTTTAATGTTTTTTAATACCATTCCTGACTTTTTCTCATTCATTTCCATCCCTATTCCACTTATTATTTCTTTAATTTCGTTGTGGATTATTCCCATTTCTTCACTACTTTCCGTCATTATTCTCAAATCATCCATATATAATGTGTGATTTGCTTTTGGGAATTTCTCTTCGATGATTTGAGAAATTACATTCATCTGAATGATGAAGAGTAGATTTGATAAGGAATCACCTTGTAAAATTCCTCTATTTAATTTAATACATCCTAGATATTCATTAAATTTATAACCGATGAATATCTTCAATCTAGTCATCATATTTTCAATAATGTCAATGATGACAAACTCATAATTAAAATACTTTAATGATTCAATTACCCATTCGTGGTTTACTGTGTCATATGCTTTCTTAATGTCATAATATGACTCCACATATTTTGGGTATTTTTCTTCTTTTTGCTGCTTCATCATATAACTATTAATTATTCCTTCTTTAGCAGCTAAAGATTGCAACTTACATCCCAATTGGTTGCTACTGATTTTAAATGATTCACAATTCATGTTAAGTCTTCTGTGAATCTTTTCTTTTAATATGGAGGTAAATACTTTCATAATTACATTTGTACAACTGATATGACGATAATTAGTGACATTATTCATATCAAATTGTGGATTAATAAAGTTCTTCCACTTACCATGTCTAATGGGATGTTTTCAGGGAAGTTCAACCATTCATTGAAGATATTGAGAATGATTTCTCTTGATGATGACATCCTTTTCCAATAATACCCATATATAGTGTCTATTCCTGGTGCTTTCCAGTTACTTATTCTCATTATACTTAAATTTAATTCATTTAATGTTATAATGACACTATCATAATTGAAATATCTTTCATTCCACAAGGTGATTTATTTTATTTTCCATTATCTTTATTTAATATCACCTGTGTTTCATATAACGATTTCCAATATTCTAAATTAATATCGTTATTTGGTATATTTCATTTTTTGGGTCTTTCTTATTCTAATTTTCTTATTAGAATCAAACATGATTTTATTTGTATTGATTCTGACTATTTCATTTTTATTAAATTTAATTCTTTATTCATTGTCATCATATATTTTAGGTATTTTATTCTTTCCAGTGCTTTAACTTTAATTCATTCTTCATCATGTTCATTTAATTTCATGATGCACTTTATTCTGTACCATTTTCTTCCCTTGACCAAATCTTCTAGTCTATTTATTTTCTTTATATTTCTTTTATTTCATCAAATTTATCTCCTATTATTTTATTTTGGAGATAGAGGTGCATACACATTGAAATCCTCTTCATATCATCTTGCAGATCCTGCATTCTGCTTCCTGACATTATCCATCTATTATTAATTTCATTTATTAATTGGTCAGCTTCTTTTCTTTGAAAGTAGTAATTAATGTTAGTACATTTTTCTATTTTCATTTCTTTTATTTTATTGATGAGAGTGTTAAGATATTCTTCATCAATTTCAATAGAGTTATTCTTTAATATGATGTTTTTTATTATTGAATTACACTCTACTCTTCCTTCTATTATATCATTTACTTTCACTTTTAATGTACCGTTTAATGCTTTCTTTTATTTTATGTGACATTTTAATATATTTAATATATTCATTTTCATTATTGACATTGATGTTTATTGCTTTTATTATACTTTCAATTTTTTCATTTCTTAATTTCTTATATAATTTCTTATTTAGTTTTTTCATTTATCATCTTCTTTTTAATTGAATATACTTCTTGGAGGATATCATTCCATCTTTTTCTTTTACCTTCATATTTTTAAGTATTTCTTCATATTCTCCTTTATTCTATTCGCTTGTTATTCTTTCTTGTATATCACTTATTGTTATTCATTTGTATTTGTTATTTGTATTATCTTTATTATTATTGTATTTATCTTGTTTCTTATTTGTGTCTCTTTG